AGAGGAGTATCAACTGGAGTGGCGTTCGTAAGACCGGATGAAGAAATTAAGTCAATAATGTACTTGTGCTGATGAAGAAAAATACCCGTCGCATAGGACTAAACCTCAAGGCCTAAGAAATAGTGTAGAGAACCAAGGTCTTTCATCATGTGGCGGAAATCCATTAGTCAGACACTGAAGACTTATCCTTTTATGTCAAAAACTTACTCTCGAATGCACGTGCAGATCTTCAATATCCTTGTAGAACCAAAATTGGAGTCCAAGATACAGAAACAAAGAAAAATAACTTGAACTTAATTTCACCAACACTAAGGAATTGTGACATCCACAGCAAGTGATACCCCAATATGGGGTTACTCTACTAACTGAATACATCAAAATCGAAGTCGTGCGGCATAATTATACGCAAAACAAAAGGAAAGACAGTTATGGAGGTTGTCAACGTTGGCACGAAACTTACACCAGGTGAATGCTTAGATGAAATTACGGCATGTGCACAATTGAGACTTTAAGAGTAGAACTACTCACAACTCCATGAGACACATGAATTCAAAGGACATGTGCAGCCATCTACTTGGCGGCTATGTCAAGTAAAATCTTGAACTGGATAATATACAAGAAAATGAAGAAACTATACCAAAGAGATAAATAGTTACCCTCTTGTACAGAGATTCTTTAGAAGGCGTCTTGGTGTAGATCATCGATCCCCGTCTTGTAAAGGAAGAGTTCGCCTTCCGATCCTAACATCAAATTTGAAAACAAATAGAAAAAAAAAATCATTATTTTTTGGGGGAAAAGTAAAGGGGCAATCTGAATCTGAATCTGGTAACCATTAAAACTGAAAAAGAGTGTTACTTACAATGAGGGACTGGACAAGAGGAACCATCTCGACAAGATCGTTGAAGAGGACGCGGTCGACATTTCCTGTAGAAGAGGCGGCGGCAGCTGCGGCGGAGAGGGAAGAGAGGGTGCGGCTGAGGTCATCGCCGGAGAGCCATGATTTTGGGTCCGACCCGAAACCACTGTTTTCCGGCAAATCCAAGAAATTCTGCTGCTTGGGTTCGTACATTCTGCTGGATCTTTGTTCGAACTAGGAAATGAAAATCTAATTATTGAAAAGAATTGTAATTTAAAAAAAAAAAAAATCTTTGGCGGATCAGTTGAAAATCTTCATAAAAGAGCTTCTCGCGAAATGGGGACTGGGAAGAGACTGGTTTTTCAAATTTTATTGGGGCAAACGCTGACATATGGCGTCTATACTCTATTTATGTCTATCATCCTTGCGAGCGCCATGCTAATATTTTCTGTATGGTTCCAATTTTATCGGATGTCCCCGAAGGACATATAGCGTCTATACTCTACTCTATAGTGCATTGCTTATACAAATTTTTTCAAAAACAAAATCAATCATTTTCATACAAGTTTTTTCAAAACAAAATCAATCATTTTTTTTTTAATTTAAATTTAATGTACCATCACTATCTTCAATATTATCAATATAATTAAATAATAATATTCAATCATCTTTATACATTACATCAATTTTAATTCACCGTTCATTCACTCACATAATTTTAACTAATCATGACTTCACATCATCTATCTCATATTTTTTACATCAAAACCAACTTTATTTATTTTAATTTAAATATTATTTTAATCCAAACTCAAAATCCACTAAGAATTAACTTTCTCATAAGAAAACTTCTTTTTTAACCCAGACGTCATAAAATGATATGGGACACCATAAATGTGTGTATCCAAATGAACTGCATAATTAACAACTATGCGGGAGTTTGTTGCATATATACCATCTCGTGTCCAAATCAGATGCATAATTAATAATTATTCGAAATACTTTCACATATTTTGTAATCGCACATTACAATATGCGATATTTTTTTTGCATAGTTTACGACTCACATATC